GTTGTTTTGAGATGAAAATATATATGTTTGGAAAAAGTGCTAGAACAAAAGATGTTTCATACAGCCTAAATTATCTAGTCTTTAAAAAAAGTTTTTGTTTAAGGTCAATAGTACGTTAATTGTTTCTCAATAGTAACTTTGTTCAATCGTCAAGTATATATATGGACGATAATAATGAGCACACGTAGAATCTTAATAAGCTGACTATTTCATGGTTGTTCGACATACATGAGCTGGACCGAAAAGGGGGTGATCTCGGCGTAGTGATTAGCATTCATACCTTTCACGCCAAAGTCACGAGTTCCCCCCCGAACAAGCCACTAATTGAGCCAAGAGCGTTATAGCGACTATGATAAAAAACGATTTGAAACGTTGTGGATCAACAGTGCTGAGAGAGTTATGATTCTGTTTAAGCGATATTCAGCTGTTACTACTCTAAACCAGTGCTAAAGTTGTGATGTCGGTTTGAAAGCTGGACGCATTTAATCGCTTATAAATTATGAATGAAGTTAGATACACAGTTGATAGGGGAAATGGCTCTAATGTTGGCCTATGGATCTAAGATTGGGCCCATCGCTAAAAATCTGCTATTTATCAATTTTATCTATATGAACGCGTCATTGGGACGATACTAATGGATTTTTTGGTCGCTATTGAAAATTTAGTCGATTGCTGAATTTATGTATCAGCCCAAATTAGGGGCATTTAGGCATTTCCCCTATATGCCATGAAGGTTTTTTTATTCAGCTATCAAATGGCAAAAATGAATAATTAAAAAAAATGGCTATCATGAAAACAGACCAATGGGAATTTCCTATTATTTGTGCACAATTTATTTTCATTTCTCAAGCTTCATGGTGTATAACATTGAAACGAGTTGATAAATTTTGCTGAATTTTCACTACTTAGAGGACCTCTCAGTATTTTTTTTTTGTGAAAATCTTTGGGATGGTTTAATCTGTATTTCTCTACTTGCAATCGTGCTCATATGTTTTATCAACTTTATTGTATTTTATTTGGATGTTTAGTAGAATTTTGATGTTTAGTAGAATATTCTTTATTTCGGATATAACGCTAGTCAAATGTCAAAATATCCAGTTGCCTCTTCGACTCACAAACTGTAATCAATCAGCTTGTGGGTTGTTTAAACGGCTTGTTTACCGATTCGCCAAATAAAAAAAAAGAATAATCATAGTACCTGTCACCATGTGATATGGTTAATTAAACAATAAGAATGAAAAACTTGCATCCCTTCTAACGAGCAGGCAGATATCAGAACATCTGAGCATTAGAAGTCCGTTTAAAATTAACGAAGATAATAAAATAAAACGTGAAAAATTGGGATTTAGTAAGGTGCTTGTACCTACTCAAAAGGAAGAAAGAATTATTTATGGATGTTATTAATTATAATCCAGAGTTAAACATATATTCCACTTATTTGAAAAATCTGAAAAATCTGTATATTTAAAAAAAATGTAATCTGTATATACAAATAGGGGTTTTGATCTAGTTTCCGTCCTACTATGCACAACCCACGCTTTACCTCTCTTTTTTGAACAGGTTTGATAAAAAAATTGAATATTTCTGTCAAATATGACTTTTAAATTTATTCAACTTTCCATACTACCGTTGGATTTGTTAAAGAGTCATAAATTATGAGATATTGTTTAAAATCTAATACTGCTTCTTGATTCTAAATTCGTCGTACGAGTTTCAATTCCGTCCTAACACATTGAAACGCCATTAGATTTGCTTCGTCGTAGGAAAAGGGGTTTGCTATGAGCACTTTTTTTGTTTTGAGAACAATGAGCGTAAATATTCATACAATGCGCTCTAATAGGATTTATGTTGTAGCTAATGAACTAACGCATCGGAACAAACCTATTGTTTATTTGTGCACGGTTAAATCATTGATATTATTGATCTTTTATGATCGATAGAACGGAAATGGGTGATTACGACGAAGTAACGCTATACCCTACTCGTATCAAAATGTTGAGAAAAATCTGTATCATTACAGATAAATCTGTAAGCACCCACATCGACCGGAGGAAAGGCTTCACGCAATAGAAAGCATGACTAGGCTGCCGTCATCCAGTCGGCATCGATTTGCACTGGTGTGGCCGACATTTGAAAATCAACCGGCCCTTTTCAAGGCCACCAATTCAAAAACGAAAAGATTTAAGAACTAAATGATTAACATAGTTGTTCCGTCCACTAGCGGTCCTACGTCAAGCTCCCGTTCGTGCCCCTAGGCACAGACCCTTCTAATTTTTTAAGAAGAAAAAAATATTTTTTTTTAATTTGCCTCAAAGTACAGCTGTTGCTAAATTAGTGGCAAAAGTGTGTAGGAAATACCACATAGCGATATTTTGATTCCTATCAAGTCAAACTTGGCAAAATCCCTAGGATGTCCATATTATTACCCCTAGTCCCTCTATTCGTCAAAATGTAAGTAACAAAACATTGTCGAAAGCTTCTTGTTCTGATCACGGTGGTACATTGAAATCTGCGTCCAGATTTACTGTTAACCATGCTTTTCCATGAAAAAAAAAGTTTAACAAGTCTTGTTCAGTCTCTTGTTCAGCTCACTGATTGAGGTAGATCAATTTGGAGACAATAAGCGGTATGCACTACTGGTCAACTTTATATTCAGCCTGTTTTTAATCAGCTGTCTACACCTTCAATCAACCAATAGTCAGCTTCTGTTCGTACTGTTCAGCTTGAAATGTTACCTGCGATCGTGTAATTCGTTTTGATAGAACTTATTGAGCGTCCAATCCTCGCAATCTTCTCTCAAGAAATCTCAATCGTATTTTGAGCTATTGCAACTCCTCGTACCACCATATTATGGACTCATTGTTTAAACATTCATCCCAAGTAGCATTTTTTGTTTTATTGCACTCTATTAGTGGTTTTTGAGATCAATTTTATAAAACCGTCAATAAAATTAATAACTCCAGCACAACCTTTTGATAACCGCTATAAGATCGTCTTACAGCTTAGTGGACCACTCTTGATAAGGTTTATAAAGCATGTTTGAGAATCACAATAAAGCTGTCTTAAAACCTTTTGTCAGAAGCCTCATACTCTACAGAAGGTTCTCATAGCCTCTTTAAGAGTAATATTGTATCCAAGCAGTCTTATTAAGCTTTTGTTAAAATCAGCTATAAATCCAATTTAATTTATATTTGCTTCAAAGCAACCGCCATAAATTAGCTTGTTGTTGTTCTGTTCTGCTGAAACTTTTTTTCTCCATATGGAAATCTTTAGCGGTAAAAATAGGTTTGAGTGTTGGTGTCAAGATCACCATGTAATCAATTTTGTTTTATGGCGACATTAGTGAAAATCTTAAAGAAAATATGTGACTTTTTAGAAGTTCCAAAACATATGCGCTTGAAATTTAATCGTGTATATTTGGATAATATGAGCGTTAAATAAATGCGCCTCCAAAATAATTCAAGTTAACAAAAATTATTGTTTCAGAAATCAAATTAATTTGATGGAATCATCTTAATTTTACAGAAAATAGATCTCAATAAATAAATTCATACCAATGCACACAGGAAATCATTTCAGATATCTAATTTAGCCATTATGTTATTGAAATTTCTTGGATTTTATTCCAAGGCTATTGGCATTTTCATAATGACAATATGGCAACAGAGGACAGCAGGCAAGAAAAACACCAAGCGCAATTTCTTAAAATGTCTAATGCTTACATTGCACACAGGGTCAGGAATGCAACCTAGCGGAGCAGAATTAATAACTCCGAAACGAAGCATTTCCGCGGCTTGGTGCCTTCAGCAAAGTTTCTCATCATAATAAGGACCATCTATTGACATTAACAAATAGTTTAAAACTCTTCCGCAAAGATGGCGCCACAATCTAACTTCTTTCTCTGACGTTTTGGAGACTTGATGTCTTCGGCAAAGTTGTTTTCTTGACAAAATGAACAGCTCTTTCAAGGACGTGAAATTTCCACAGCCTACTGGTTCCAAGTTATAAGGAGTTAAAAAAAATGTCGCTCCGCTAGGTTGCATTCCTGGCCCAGTGCCAGTGTGCATTGAATGAAAGCAGAACAGAAAAGCATAATGCATGATTTTATTACGAGCACTATTTTCTTTTTACGAGAGCAATTCATTTTTTTTATTTGAGGGAAAATGTATATTCCTATTCTACGAATGCAACCGATGAATTTTACAAAAAATTGGAAAAGTTTTGAATGGTACATTAACCTTTATGAAAAGTTATGCATGATTTCAACTTTTTTGTCCTAGAACTGTCACCATTCCATTTATTTCGACCAATGGAATGGTGAGAAAGCACACTCTTTACAGCTTGTAACATCCGCAGAAAATGCAGCGGCATTTTTTTTCTTGGTTGGAGTTATTCACGAAGGTTTGCGGCTGACTGTAGCAAATAAACGGGCTCATGCTAACAATCTTGTTGATTTTTTTGCGCTCCTCTTGGAAATACCGGAAAGTTTTGATTCTTTTCTATGTTTTAGAAATAAACCGCACATTTACACTTCTGACAAGTTGCAACTGAATGCTTATAATTGTTTTAAAATAACTGTTTCATGGCCAACTAACTTTATTGCGCTTACGTATACAGCAATATAAGGATTTATTTTTGAATTTTATAAGGGCAATTCATATTGCTTTTTTTTATACTTCAAAGCAGTCATAAAACCTTTAATAAGTGGAAATAGCATAAGCATCAGTTGGTTTTTTTATAAGCTTTATAGGGGTTTTGTAGATAGCTATAAAATGTTCGATGACTTGCATTGTATAAGACCGTCATAAAGCTGTAGGTAATGGTTGCAGCTGCAATAAAACCTTTATAAATTTTGAATATAGTAAAGCAGCTCTAGATTTGTTACTTGGGATACGATTTAAAACAGGATTGGTTTTAGAAGTACAAATTAAATTGTTCTTTTTTTTTGCTTTTTCTTCCTTCTTTTTTTTCCCTATCGCCGCCCATCCATCTACCATCAGTGCAAAAATCAACTGATAACCATCTCCAACTTGCGTACCGCACTGGAGGAAACCAAACGCAATGGCAGCTCTTCCGTGAGTTTACCCTCCATTATGGGGGGAAGTGGTTCAACCAGCCCGAACCATTCGGGTCCCAACAGCCAATACCTTCAACCGCAGCATCATTACTACACCAGCAATAATACCAATAACAGCAATATTAATAATAATAATAACAATAATAATACTAGCAGTGGGACGTCCTACTGGAATGCCTTTTGGCGTGCAATGCATGATTCGTGAATTATTGTTCTTTTTTTTGTTGACATTTTACCTTTTCCAACCAGACTCGTTACAAATATTTATTTGAAGCCTTTTATTTATTTTTGTTCATGAATCTCTGACAACGAATAGCTAATGAATCTTGCCCTACTAAACAGACACTTAATTCTACTGTGTTAGCTAACCAAGTGCCACCTATTTTACTGTAAAATAAGTAACACGTTTTTTTTTCTGTTGTTAAGTTAGCATTATTTTAAATGATAAATTATTTACTATAGATAAGTAAAAACATACTTTTGACGAGATTTTATTTGTAAAAATAAAGTTAGGATTATTCGAAAAAGGTTGTGTTTTTATCACGTTGTTCTTCGGTTTTCGTTTGCTATACTAACCTTATTGATGTTTCGGTAAGTTTATTTATAATTTACCCAATTTAAGTGCAACACTAGACAAGCCATACCTTTCGTTTTCTTTTCTGATAATTTTCGTGTAGGTAACCAACTTGCAGGAGGTGATTGAATCGTTACAATCCGAGGTTGCACTTCTTGGTGAACAGTTGAATCAGGCGTTTCGAGAAGTAAGTTATAACAGCAAATGGTTTTTGAAGATATACCCATTAACACTGGCTGGGTTTTTGTTTCAGAACCTCAGCAAGGACAACGAGTTAGACCATTACCGCGACTCGAACTTGCATTTGCGTTGCCAAATAACGGACCTAACGCGGGATCTGCACGAGTTGAAGGATATCTCCACGGTGGTCGACGTGAGACGGGAGGTAACGTATGGAATGTATGCTGCCGTGAAATAAATTCTCTTGACACATTTTGATTTGGTCTATTGTCATACTGCCGTATTAAGCCAATCATGGAGGAGGCGAAATGTTAGTGCTGATTTTGCGATAGGTATATACTACCGACAGTAAAAAGTAAACGTGCTCCCTTGAGATGGTGACGGTGTCGCGTGGTGTATGGCGAATGTTCTACCTATAATATAGAAATGAAAGCGTTGTAGATTGAAATGTCTTTGTTTCGTGCTACGGTTTTCCCCGTCGTTCGGGATTGAAAATGGTGTTTGCGGGAAGGGGAGATTTATTTATTTATTATTTTTGCTAGGTGAAACTGACGGAATTCTCTCATCATTGGAAAGGTGTTAAGGCATTACCATAAGCATTTATATCGATTACACAGACACACCGACAAATACCGTTTTATTTGTTTTGTATGTTAGAAATAATAGTTCACTGAACGCACCGCTTCGGAAAACGCAGCTTCATTTCAATGTGGAACCTCAACATTGATTATTAACTCGATTGATTGTCGCATGTCATTGAATTGGAAAAATACAGATTCAAGCATTCGATAAGTTTTATATTTTCGTAAGTCCGAGGTCATTGAAAAGCTTAATTCATTACTATCTTACAGAGCATTTTATATGAGGTATTCCAAGACGAATGCTTCTTGTTCAAATTGGATAGGCATGGCACTTTAAAGCGTCTTTAAAGGAATGTTTGTTTGCATTCAAAAAAGGATGAAAAGAAATCGAAGATGAATGTGGAAATTCCAATAGCACACCATGAGCGATTGAGGAACAAGAAATCGCATTTGCAATTAATCTCTGAATAACCGATCGGCATTAAAATGTAACAAAATGGGAGCTTAAGATGTATAACGCACTATATGCTAAAACAGGGATGATAGAAAGTTAAAAAGAATAAATACCGGGCCAAACATCTACTTATACACTAAATCTAAGCCAGTAAAATCTTCAAAAGCCGATTACCTAAACATTAACTTTTGCAGATATCTCTGCAATATATCTGTTTATTAGCTGAAATCTCTGCAAAAATCTAATTTACTAGCTGAATCTCTTTACTGAATTTCAGCAAAATAAATTGCAGCACTAACTACTAGGCTGTTCAAATCTCGGTAAAAAAAATTAAGTGTATACGGCCATATGTTTGTGAATATGTTCGAGAAAAAAAAACTCACTTCAACTCTTAAATCCTAAGCACGTGGTTTTCCTGCCAGCATATTTACTAGCCCTAGGGCTTCATTATTTTCGGGACTCGAAATCACTATATAGTATAACTCTAATTATAGGTTTAATACTACTTCTAAAAGTGCTGAATTGAAGTTGATTTACGGCTCTGGGCTAATGCTTATGGTTACTTGGGTCGGAAAGCGGAAAAACTATAAACGGAAACTCCTTCTAAAAAACAGTCAAAGTTTTTTTTTTCGAAATTTAAGGGGGTATTCCCAATCTTTTGCCTTTTTTCGGCCTGTTTTTCAATTAATTGTTTTTCAAGGAAAATGAATAGTAATGCGCCTAACTCTTTGGGATTCTTGTTTATTGAACATTAAAGTTTACAAATAATTTTTTTTCGACATAAAAAAAGACATTATTGACGTCACAAAATGGCGACCAACAGACCCCTGTTCGCCGCAAACGCCTGGACGGGCGAAGACTTTTCTCTGGAACGGCTTCATCTGAAACAGATTTCGTGATGAAATAATAATCTGCATAAGATTCTCTGGAGCTTCTCCCGTTGGCAGCAAAAAATCTTGCAAATTAACAAAATGGCGGCCATATGAAAAAACAGGCGATTTTTAGCCCGCTTTTTTGCAACTTTAAGGTGCTTCAAAAAATGTTAAATGTTAATATTTTTGGCTGAAAGTGGGAGAAGCTCCAAAGAATTTAATAAGGAACAAAATGCGCAAAGATTCAAGTCAATATCTCTTATAGTTTCTGAGAAAAATCTTCGCCCGATAAAAAAATGTGGTTTCGAGAAAAACGCGTTTAAAGTTTTGACTTTAGTTAAAACCATTTGGGGGTTCTTACCATTAGTCAGCTATGCCTGGACACCGAATTTGCTGATCGGAAAACGGCTTGGGGGGATGAAAGTATATAGTCTAAAGTACAAAAAAACGTGAAAAAAAAAAAATTTGATTTTTTGAAAAAAAAGATCGGGAATACCCCCTTAACCATAACTTCTTGCTCTCATCTAACGGATCAATCAATAAGCTGAAAAGTGACAGTAACTTCATATGGCTGCTTTGATTTTCCGCCCTTAAAAATCAAGGACAATTATTGTAACTTGCTAGGGGAAGAATGATTTTTATCTTTAACCTAGGAAAATCGTTCGAATCCATGTTACCTGCTGCTCTGTGTTGAATAGCAATAAGTAGGGTCGGTAATAAATCATGCTCACTTGTAGCTTTCCATTGGCATAGTCCCATCGAAAGCCTTGATCACATCAGGAAATGCCTGCCATCGCACATTATTTACGCATTGGTGCATCATAATCATGGCTATACTGCTGTTATTCGCATAACAGTCCCATGTAGCTAGGAAATCCATAGGACATAGGACTGCTATATGAATATCGGCAGTATACCCTCGCGGGTGAAAGGTGACTACGAGTCCAAAGTGCCAAGTGCTAGTTCAAAGTTTTGCTGGCACCTTTACCCGCTTTGAAGGAAAACGAAGACAGAAGGGCGCAGTGATTTGCACTAAGGGGAAGAAACACTGAAACTTGCTACACGCGATTTCCACCCAAGGATGAAGACGGTGGGTTTGAGAAGACAATTATTACTGTATATAGGTAGGCATGGAAATCAGGTTAGGGACAAGAGAGGAAGATTTGCTTTCTTTCAGCAACCGATCCAAGGTGCAATAATGGCGTTAATTTAAGGTTGATGAAAGGCTATCAAATCGAATTAGGCGTAAATTGTTCGATATGTAACAGTAGTAGTTTTCGCCTGCAAGAAGGATGGTCGATATAAGTTGAAAATTGCTCAAGGTTGACGAAATGCACCAAGGAATGCAATGCATCGAGCGAACACTGTATTGAAACGAAAAATAGATCAAAGTAAATGTGAAAACTTTTCCACTTTATCACTTTTTAATAAGTTGTTATGTCTCCGGAAACAATTTTTCGTTCAATGCCTGGCGTACACAGTACTCGCTTTCTGTTGTACATGTTTAGTCAGTTTATTACTTCTGGGTTGTTCCTGTTCTGGTGGATTTCCAAGCTCGTTATTGTCAGCATGGAAATTATTATCCTTCGATTGAACACGGTGGGCCATCTAGCACAATTTAGAACTGTATTTGTGTGCAATGTTTGTTCACATCTACGCTTTCTTCAAGATTTATAAGGTCTGGGGATGGTAATTTCATTCACCGTAAGTATTGTGGATGTAATCCCGACACTAGAATCATTCTATTTGGCTAGATAGAGTTCTGTATAATGCTTCAAACTTCAATCAGCAGGAGATCTTTTGAATACTTCCTTATCAATCTGCCATCTTGGGTAAATATCTGAGTGCCATCATTTAAATTTTTGATCAGCTTGACACATTTAGAATATCACACGAGCATCCAGAAGTTTGAAAATATATGCAAAAGACTTCCCTGAAATCTTCGATCTGCTGGAGATCTTTTTAGTACAGATCAACCTGCCAACTAGGAATAATTTCTTAGATTCGTCATTTTAAGCTTCGAACACTGCCCAGAAAATGGCTAAAATGCTATTTTTGTCAAAATCGAGAAAATTATGTTACATGATAGGTAGTAATTATGTCTAGGTTAGCACGGCATAAATTAAAAAAAATATATATAATGGGGAAATGACTCTAATGTTGGTCTATCGATCTAAGATTGGCCTCATCGCTAAAAATCTGCTATTTATCAATTTTATCTAAATGAACGCGTCATTGGGACGGTACTTATGGATATTTTTGGTCGCTATTGAAAATTTAGTTGATTGCTAAATTTATGTATGGGCCCAAATTAGGGGCATTTAGGCCGACATTACATCCATTTCCCCTATTTGCGTGGATAAAAGACTTGAAAATTAAATGGCTAATGTGAAATATAAATGGGAAGTTGTCTAATGTGCAAGATGAGTCTGAAACAGAGCGCAACAACCAGTGTGCTTTTAATAATTTTTAATTCTGTAGACCAGAATAGTAAAAGGTGTGATTTTAGTAAGCATGAGGTTCAGAGCTCCGATCCTGTTTTTTGAACTGATTTTTTTTAGCGCAGCTTTTTGATATGCAAATAAGTTTGCTCAACTATGGTTCAATAATACGTAACCGTGATTGTCTGTGACAGTTACTAAGGTTCACAGTGTGTTCTTTCTTTTAGCCATGAGAAGGCCTACTTCACGATTGGGGTAGCTTTTCTTATCGGTACTGTGTTGCCCTCCGACTCCTATTCACTTTGGTGGGAGTTAGTAACGAAACGTCATTTAGCACAGACATTTTTGACACGATAAATGAAAATTTACGCACGTTAGCCAAAAGACCGTTTGTCAGTTCTCTGAAGGTTTGTAAATGAAGATATGGCTACTGCGTTGAAAATTATGCTCAAATGAAAATTGGCTATTTGTTTTACAGTTGTTATTCAACGGGATGATCTCAATTATCTAGTAAAAGTTACTGTGCCGTAAAAATCCATAAAGTAGCATTTCCTAGCTTTTATGTGCAAGGCTCATTGACCATTTTCTCATTTATGGGCAGAACACATCAATATGTATCAATATGTAAATAACCTGAAGTCTTTGATTGACTGTAGATCTTTTAATACTTTCTGACCAACCTACTATCTTGGGTGAATATCTGAGGGGCGTCAGCTCCAGATCTTCAGAATAGCAATACAGTCTTGAAAAATATTCAGGGGACTTCATATTCGTGTTTATCAACAATGTTTTCTAACATACAACGAAGTTTTCTAAACTTCAACGGAGGTTCCTCCCAAGTAACATTTTAAGTTTTA